TAGTATAAGACAGACGGTCTTTCAAAAAGCCCAATATCCTCCCCACCCCATACCCCTCCATCCTACCAACCCATAAACAACAAATATAGTCCGCTAACAACACCCCGAGCGTGTTACGCACCCGCCTGGAGCCCCGAGGGAACGATAAAAACAAAAACCGCAATAGGTCGACCTGCACCCCTGGACCACAAAAGGCTGCAATGACATCCCGCAACCACCCAACCAAACCCTGAACCCACGCACAAAAATAAAAGACGTGCAACTGAGTCTCACGTCCCCCACAATGAACACAACTATCAGAGGCGACCAAACCCAACATAAAGAGCCTCGCATTCGTAGCCAAAGACTCGTGCAAATATCGAAAAACCAACTCACGCGTCCGTGGCGCAATACACGGCCCACTCAACGCCTCCCACACATTCCCCCAGTCTAAACAAGGGTACAAACCCTCGACCCTGGGAGGCACCCGAGAGGCAAGCGCCCCATACACCTCCCGACAACCAAAAGAGACAAACCCAGGAAATCGACAAAGCGCCCGAAGGATCAAAACCGCCCACGAATACACTGGAGGTGTATAAATGGCCACCTCCCGGCAACGATATAGATCAAGCAAAAAACTAAACCTCATAGAGCAGTAAAACAACCCCAAGGAGTTTAACCCACCCCCTAACACCAAACTCCTCCGAACCGACCCCCAAAACAAAGCCAACGCCTTCACATAGACATCAGGAATACCAATTTCACCTTCTGACACCTTAAGACATAACGTAGATCGACGAACCGGATGATACCGGCCACACGACACATAACGATACACCAAACCCTCCAGAGCGCGAGCCTTCCGCCGATCCAACGGAAAACACTGCGCAACAAACCAGACCCGCGACAAAACCTTACAAGACACGACAATCGCCAACAAAACAGAGGCACACCCCACCTGTTCCTTCCGCAGTAAAAACTGCGAGAGCTTCTCACCACACAACCGTTCCTCCACCCCAGCCCGCACACGTACCCCCTCAGCCCACAAATGAGATCCTTACACACCGTGATCTCCCGAAACCTATCTAAACCCTGATTCAGCAACCCATACAGGCGAAATAACTGTGCCTGCAAGACCCTCAACAGACCAAACCTTCCCGACGCCTCCCGCTTCGCCATCACTCGAAAAAACGACCGACATTCCACCTTAGCCCACTCCCACCACTCCAGGACCGAGGGAAACGTCCCCTTCCGAGCGGCCAAAACAGCCCACCGGGCCCGGAACTGGGCACACACAACAGGGCATTTCAGCAACCCACAATTCAGTTTCCACCAGCCACGGCCAACCCGCACCTGGCTGCAAATCCCCACCTGCAACACCACCATGCAGTGGTCCGAGAACCCCACGGGAACCGTCTGCAACGAAAAAAACGAACCACCCCCAGTAGGCACGTAAAAACGATCAAGGCGAGAGCAAGCCACGCGAGATAAAAGTGTACTCCAAAGGACCCCCTTGCAACACGGCCGCATCCCGAAACCCGCAACTCTTCAAGGTAGCAGTCAAAGCTGGCAAGATATTCGCTGGACGAAGACTATTGCTATCCCGCGGCGATGTAATACAATTAAAATCCCCCCCCCCCAAAATCATCCCCCTCGTATCGTGCCGCAAAAAATGCAGCACATCACGGGAAAAGAAAACCTCCCGGTTCTGCCTCCGGGCCGCCCCAGATGGCGCTTACACATTCAAGAGAGAGACCTCAGACCCCAAAAAGGAGACCCGAACTAACAGCACCCGACCACCTTCGTCCATCTCCGTGTGAAGCAAGGAAATCGGGGCCCGCTTAGAAAGCAAGATCAACGTACCTCCACGCAAGCCACGCGAAGGGTTTAACACCACCATAAACCCCTCAGCCAACACATGTAACAACCCCACTTCCTGCACATTGTGCTCCTGCACAAAAGCCACATCCACCCTCCACTCACGCAGCATCGACACCAGGCCCAATTGCACAGCCACAGAACGCAAACCATTCACATTCAGCGAAGCACATGTTAATTTAGGATCCATCGGGAAAAGAGATAAACCCTATCTAACCACAAAACCGTCATACTGGTCCGGCCGACACCCCGTGTACAGAAGCAGTAGCAGCCGCCACCGGGTTCCCAGGCGACGGAGACGCACTTCCCACAGGGGGGGGAAGGCCAGAGTCCTTCCGGAGCTTCATCACAAGGCCGCGATCATCACTGCCACAGTCCCCCGGATCCACTACCGTCCACTCCGGGCTCCGTACCCCAGGGGACCCACATACGAGATCACCAGGAGGGTCCACAACACACCCTCCACCGCCCGGCACCGACGGGTCTACTACAGACACCGCCACACCCTCACCATCACCGACACTCGCATCAGGCTCTAACCTCCGCACGGAAGGCCCTCGGTCCCCGGAGCGACCACTCCTGTTCGTCTTCCGGCGCTTCGTCTGAGAGCCAGGTTGACCCTGGACAGCAGTGGTGGAAGGACGACGAGAGGGGCGACCCCCTTCCAAGAACTCATCTGCCTCCAAGGGTTCCACACCAAGGGCACCAGAATCTGGCGCGACATCCTCCACCGGCGACAAAACAGGGCCACGCCCCACCGAAGCGTCAACATCGACGGCTATGGCAACCGGAGACGGATGCACCTTCACATGCGTGAACACCGCACTACCACCCACACAAGGGGGGTCCACAGACATCAGACCCGACACGTCAGCACCAGTGGGGCGCACCGCACCCACAATGCCATCATCACCGGAAGGTGTAGGGGGAGGGTTCAACCTGGCAGGATCATCCCCCAGGTCTACAAGACCATGTAGAGGCGGAAAATCCTCTTCTCGGAAGACACTGACCAACTGGACGGTGCCATTACGGCAACCAGCAGCCTGGTGTCCAGCCATACTGCACCGAAAACATGTGCGCTCTTGTCCCGCATAAAAGCACTGCACCTTGAACCCCAGCAGCACCTTCGACGACGGGATCGCCTTCCTCAGCTTCATGGTAACTGTGCGGATACCCATCAGGACGCCACGAAGACGGCCAGACTTCAGCACATTCGCCCGACAGGCGAGAACACTCCCATATCCTCCTAAGAACCGGCGGAGCAGGCTCTCTGGGAACTCAAACGGCAGCCCCCGCACCACCACAAAAGTCACTGGAACACACAAGTCCGTTACAGAAACCGTGCCCGCCGCGCCAGGCAAAGGTACAGTACGCCCATCATACTTGTCGACCATATCCCGGTACACCACAGCGTCAGTCAGCTTAACCAAGGCCTGATGTTCCCCAGCCAGCTGCACACCACACACATCTGCAGGGTTGAGACCCAGCACATCCAGGAGAGCAACCTCCAACAATGAGTAGTTCACCTGACCAGAGAAGGCCAGCTCAACCGAATCCACACGCTTTATAGGCGGCATGGGCAACGCCATCCCGCCGGCCCGCCAGGCCAGAGGCCACAAAAAACGCCACCAGCTGTGTGCACGCCAAACGTCCAGGCAAGACTGAGGAGCGAATGTAAACAGAACCGCTCCGCACGGCTGCCAAACAGCCAATCCCCAATGAACCACAAATTCATAAAAAAAATACACATTCAAGCATACAAATTTGAATAACAATCAGTATATATATTGCCGACTGCTACTACATCTGTCTACACTCTCGTTCACCTCGCTCACTTGTTTCGTAATGGCTGGTAACGCTGTTAGCGAGTTCATTAGTGGCGCAGGTTAACGACGCAGGCCAACTCATTTACTCGTTAATTTGTTTACTGCGCTTACTCCCAATTATAAGGTCACAATAATTGGTTTGTAATTGTACTCGACTTAGTATGAACAAGTTTGTATTGAGAATTCTAACGTTTGTGATATTTTAGTTATTCACGATTTCTTACTAACCCATTGCATGGTATGTGGTGTATGGTAAGTGTGTATGATATGTGGAGTATGGTTTGAATGTCTGGTATGTGGTGTTAGATATGTCGCATATTAAAGGTGTAGAATGGTATGCTCATCTCATCAGCAAACATTATGATCTGACGGGGCTATTCATGCCCGTGCCACCGCTCGGATGGCTTAGTCTTCATCAATCAATCACTCTGACCTGTACACCTGAACATACCCGTACAAAATACTCACAGCCTTATACATAGGCTAATGTGTTATACAGCCATACACATAGGCGAATGTGTTATACAGCCATACACATAGGCGAATGTGTTATACAGCCATACACATAGGCGAATGTGTTATACAGCCATACACATAGGCGAATGTGTTATAACAGAATTCAAACATGTATATACAAACGATGAATCACAATAACGGGGCTGAAGATATGATGGATCAAACCACTCATCAGAAGATAGAGAAGCGACGACGTTTCGGTCCTGGACCATCACACGACTTGATATTGGTCCAGGACGGACCGAAACGTCTTAGCCTCTCCATCTTCTTAGTTGTGGAGTTGTGGATTGGTCAATATCCATATCTATTAAAGATGATGTCTGTCTATTTGCCCGAGGTTGTGGGCCGCAAGTTTTGGCCAAGTCTCACCCAACTTTTCAAGATGAGTGGTAGGGGACTGTCATATGGGTATAGGCCGGGGGTCGGCCCAATTGCCTGCCCTTAAGAAAGATCGGCTCCTATTGTGACACTCAGTGACTCCAGTAGTGTCTGAAAAAGGGGTTTTGATTTCCAGAGATATTTTCATTAGTTTTTAAGCTAACTTTAAGCTTTTAAGCTTTAAGAGAGAGAGAGAGAGAGAGAGAGAGAGAGAGAGAGAGAGAGAGAGAGAGAGAGAGAGAGAGAGAGAGAGAGAGATAGAGAGAGATGGAGGGGGGGAGAAGGAATCCCGGGCACTGCCGGGTTGCCCAGTGCAGGACAAATACATATTCACGTCCCCCCTCAGTTTACTAAACATACACACACATGGTATACAAGTTTTAATTACATAAAAATACACACGTAAAGTTGCAATAGACTCACCTGAGAAAAGCAGTGACACCACCTCGTATCTTCGTGGTGGCACAGCTCTTTTGTGTCTCAGCTCGTTGGCAATGCTGATAGGCAGCACAGAATACAACAGTCTGTTGAGGAATCTGTAGTCAGGATTGTTTACTGTAACCAACACTCACACTACAGGCAGTGTATATAACAATTTATCTATGGAATTTCCGTGCACCATATATATATATATATATATATATATATATATATATATATATATATATATATATATATATATATATATATATATATATATATATATATATATATATATATATATATATATATATATATATATATATATATATATATATATATATATTTATTATATATATATAATATATATATATATATATATATATATATATATATATATATATATATATATATATATATATATATATATATATATATATATATGTATGTATGTATGAGTATAAGTATATGTGGAAGCTGGTCAGAATTACATTTCGTCTTTGTAAATGCACATTAATGACAGAATGTGAAAGACGCATCGAACACTTTGTGTAGGGCAGACGTAACTCTGTGTATCTATGTATTTATGTCTGTAGGTTCGATTAGCATTTTAAAAGTTGAGAAAAGGGGATTTTAGTCAACTGTTGTGGGTTGCATCCTTGAGATGGACAGTCATTGATCTAAGAACTTCGCACCTTATGTGTAGAATATGTGTAGAATAATAAATCCCACATTGTTTGAGTTAGGAAAACACTATTTGTCAAATATTGATGCTGTTCTTAAAAGATTTCCCCATTTTGCACCCGCAAGATAACGTAAGCTTTAAGGGTTGATAGATGTTAATCTTCTTGTTTGAGGAGCTGTTCACTTGAGATAGTTAAGCAAGTCCCAGCTGTGTCTGGGTACAAGTGACAGGATGAACAACTCAGCGGGTTTTCTTCCTATTGGGGAGTGTTGTACATGCTGCTATGGCGGTGTGTCCACTCACAAGATGAGTGGCGCTACCCAATAAACTCGCCCCTCGGGGCAAAATTTAAAAATTTAAAAAAATTCGCACCTGATGTTTCTGTTCACCTAGCATTAAACAGGTCCCCTGGAGATTAGTAGACTGTTGTGTCTTGCACTCTAGGAAAGGTGTGTCGTTGGCAAAATGGGGCCTCTATTAACTTTTACAGTCTCTCAGTAACCATAAATGCGAACGGATTGGAAAACCATTTTCCTCAACCAGCAGTTACGTCAAAATACTTTAGTTAACGATGAAACCAATAGCGCTCACTTATCCGTTTTCTGTCGTTCGCTCTCCAGTTCTCTGTGAGTGTGTTGTAACTTATCCGTCAAGATCTCCAAGTTCGTGGTCAAGTTGTACTCGGCCTCGAACTTCTCGCTCAGGAGGACGAGGTCTCGAGTGGCATCGTGGAGAGGGATGTCCGAGAGGTAGAGGCCTCGCCGATAGAGGTCGTCGAGGTTGAGAACCGAGGGAGAACACACGAAGAGCATGAGATCCGTCTCGGGGAGATAGATCATTTGGCCCTGAAGAGACATACATATACAGGATACATGAGAATACATAGTAATAATATACATAGAGATTGGAGGTGTACCCAATCAAATAATTTTCATTAAAACATCAATAATTATAATCGAAAACATTAAATTTAACATTAATTATTACTTACATTTTTAATACCAAAATATGCTATCGCAAACAATGGCAGACTTAAAATATATTATGTTATTATACATAACAATATTAATACTATTACATTATATAGTCAATATTTGCCATTATTTTTGTATATTTCTAACTCATGATATTAATATACAAACTATCATTTTAATGTACATAAATTTATTATAATTTGGTCTCCATTTCTACGTAGGAGTTTTG